GAATGCCAGTGATAAATGTTTTAAAAATAAATGTTATGTTTTCAACACTTTCTAATGGCCCAAGTACACCGAAATCTGATACCAGTGCTGTGAGACAATCTAATGATAGAGTATTAGAGTCGGTAAGTTATATCCACCGTYATTATAATTTATAGATCAATAGTGTTACCATAAGTATTTAACTCTATCATTAAATATTTTTAATTATAGAATTTTATGGTTAAAGTGAAAAACGAAATAAAATATTTTATTAAAATCGAAAAAGTCTATTCAAGTTCATCAAATGATATGTTTGGTAAGTTATTATTATGAATATACAGTAAAACCTCGTTAAGACGCTCTCGAAGGGGAAATCGTAAAACCGCGCAATATGCGGGATAGCGTTATAGGCGAATAGTACTAATATTAGCAAATTATTAATTAAATAAGTAAGCATTATAAAATGTTCTTAAATATATAGTCAAATTATTGTGAAATGTAATAAAATGTTAATCAAGAACATCTTTCCATCTCCAAAATTTAGTAATATTACATAACGATATTAAATTATTTTTCATTTTTTGTCAGTAAATGTAATGTTGAACCTGATGATGCCAATGCATTAATTGATACATCAGTGAAAACTATGTCCAATATAATAGCTCTAATTAAAGCAAATAAAATTGATACAAGTGTATCAAATATTAGTATTGGTAAGTTGTTATTAAAGTAATATATTATAACAAATTATGTAGGTATTAATATTAAAAAATAGTCTTGATCAAATTGCTGTTTAATTTTTAACATTTAATAATTTAAATTAATTTAATCTCTAAACTGTGATTACATAACACTTACCTACATTATTAGGTACTCAATTTTTAAATGTAAAAAGTAAAATTTTACTAGATAGAGATACTTAGATCAATTTTTAATTTTTTGTTTAGAAATTACTGCATTAATAATGTATTTTTTATTATTTTTCTTATAGGCTGTACCGTACCTATAACTGATAAAATTAACAAAAATGGCATTAGATTATTTCATATAGGTTAAATAATTTATACTTTTTTATAGGATTAATATTATATTATATTATTATATACCATTATGAAATAATAACCCTCGTAAGTCGTAATAATCTGATTATGTATTTAGTACTCATGAATAGTAATGATCCAGTAAACCAACTTCCAGTGAATCGTCTTAAACTCAGAAATCAAATATCAACTAGTCCATACCGCCCAAATATGGAATCTTATACAAAAACAATGCAAGAAGCATCAGAAAGATCGTTTCAAAAATCCTGGTTTGAAAAATATGGTATGGTTAAAATATGTCCATCTAAATACCTAGYATTTTGTTTCCATGTAGGATTTCTAAGGATAATAATTTAAATAGCAGTCAATTAGATGATGCATTTTCTAAAACTCTTCTGTAGTTGGTATTGAGGTAATAATCATTTAAATAAACATCAAATGTCTAAATTCTATATTTTTAGCATTCAGTGAATAGTTGATTACTTGAATACTATTTCTATTGATCAACAAATAGATATAAGTAGAAAAGAATATATTTCCAAATGTGAGGTRATCATTTATGCAATAGAGAAATTATGAAGTGTTTGATGGATTTAACTTTGTGTCTTGTTAAAGGAAAAAAGCCTTTTAGGGGCTATGACATATAGGCTGYATCCGAATTGGTTCCCATACCTGAAAATTGACATCCGAATTGGTTCCCGACATTCCACGAGACACACATCCGAATTGGTTCCCGATATTCTAGGTAAACGGAACACATCTGAATTGGTTCCTGATATTCTAACGAATAAATAATAGGTAGACAAGAAACTTTTTTATTGCGAACATGTTTTAAAAATCATATCAACAAAATTGCTATATTAATTTTTTTAAATTTCTAATAGAAATYTTTAAATTTTGCTTTAATATGAACTTATATAGTATTATAAGAACGCCTAACCTAACCTACGAATTAGAATTTATAAAAAGTGTTTGTTGCAAATTTTTACCTTATTAATTTTTTATTAATACATACCTAACTATTATACTTATAAAAAAAGAAAAATATAACGAATTGAAAAACTACATTATTTTTATTTTTTTTTTAATGACATTCGTGACAAAAGCAAAATACATACCAAAATATTATACTTATAAAAAA